ACTTTTTTGTTTGAAACCAAGGTAAAAAGAAAAGGTCTTGAATTACAGTTTTTCTCAATTGCTAAAACACATTTCTTGACATCCACCATGCTTTCTCAACAATATAAGCACACATTTGATCACCTAACCTCTGACTCTTCCTGCAAAACCAAACAATCGCCTCAAAACAGTTCACCTGTGCTCAAAACCAAACAAAGTTGTCAGATCATACCCCATCATAGTGATCATAGTGAAAAACACTATTGAGCAGTCATTACACCCTACATAATGAAATGGAAAACTATGTGAATTTAGTGCCTGTATACATTAAACATAAAGTAAAAAATATAAATGAGAAGCACATTACAGTGTAAACCAAATTATCAAACTCAAGTGCTGACAGTATCCACAATCATTCAGCCACAGCATCCTGTCTTTGTGCTGGGTCACACCACAGGACTTCATACACATCACTGGCCACATTCTCTCTGGCCATGTAATGCTGAAAAAAAAAAAAAAAACGTCTGAACTGGATTATATTGGTCTTCTCATATCATTAGCCATCCCCGGCCACCAGAATCGCTGCTGAAGGAATTGGAGGGTGCGCTGAAATCCGGGGTGGCAGGTGTGTTTAGAGGATTGGCCCCACTGTAGGACCGGGGAACGTGCAACCTCAGGGACGAACTTTCTGTCAGTAGGGCTGGTTCCAGGGTCGGGGTGCTTCTGGAGAGCCTTGTCCACAATGGTGTTGATTTCCCAAGAGGGGGAGCCGACGACACAGGAGGCAGGGAGGATGGTGTCCAGTTCTCTGGGGTCAGAGGTAGTCAAGGAGTGGATCCGAGATAGGGCATCAGGTTTGAGGTTACGGGAGCCGGGACGATAGGAGAGGGTGAAGCAGAATCTGCTGAGGAAGAGGGACCAGCGGGCTTGCCTGGAGTTGAGGCGTCGAGCTGAACGGAGATATTGCAGGTACTTGTGGTCAGTCCAGATGAAGTCCAGGAAGGGTTGTTGTGCTCCTTCCAGCCAGTGTCTCCATTCTTGTAGTGCCCACACAGCAGCCAGCAACTCACAGTTTCCCACGTCGTAGTTCGGCTCGGTGGCTGAGATTTCCCCGGAGAAGTAGGCGCAAGGATGGAGCTTCTGGGTCTCGGAATCCCTCTGTGAGAGGACGGCCCCCACTCCAGAGTCCGAAGTGTCGATCTCCACCACGAATTGGTGAGAAGTATTTGGGTGTTTGAGCACCGGGGCGGAGATGAAGAGGGACTTGAGCTGACAGAAGGTGGCGTCTGCTTCAGGGGTCCAGGAGAACAGGACTTTGAGGGATGTGAGACGGGTGAGAGGCACAGCCACCTTGCTGTAGTCCCGGATGAATCTCCGGTAAAAGGTTGCGAAGCCGAGGAATAGCTGGAGGTCTTTGCGGGAGGAGGGAGTGGGCTAGTCACAGATGGCGCAGACTTTCTTCGGATCTGGGCGTAGCTCCCCCCTGGGCGATGATGTATCCGAAGAAGCTCACGGAGGAGGCGTGGGACTCGCACTTCTCGGGTTTGACGAAGAGGCGGTTCTCAAGGAGGCACTGGAGGACGAGGTGAACATGCTATTGATGTTCCTCCAGGTTGCGGGAGAAGATCAGGATATCGTCCAGATAGACAAAGGCGAATTGGTTGATCATGTCATGGAGGACGTCATTAATAAGAGCCTGGAACACAGCAGGGGCATTGGTGAGGCCAAAGGGCATGACGCGGTACTCAAAGTGGCCCATGGGTGTATTGAAGGTCGTCTTCCATTCGTCACCCTCCCTGATGCGAACCAGGGGCCTTATTTATCAATCGTGCGTAGAAAAGGTTCTATATTCTTGTGTAGGAATGAAATTTAGAATGTGCGTAAGTACAACAAAATCCATATTTATCAAACGTGCGGACACCGGTCGTACGCACACACGTAAGTAATCGGTGATGATAAATCCGACCTGTTCTTTACTACCGTTCTCGTGCATGGTTAGAGTCATTTGCATTCAGGAACGCCTCCAATTGACCATATACGGCATAAACAATCACTTTAAAAATGCGTGTATGAATGTTTTTCCTCCTCCTGGAGGTGCACACTCACAGCGGTATTCTGCACAATGAATGAGTCGTGCGTTCCTCCAGGCCACCGGGCAACAACGTTTAACAGAATCAAATGTGCATCGCAGATTATTTGTGAATTGATTGAATGAAATCTTTTCCTGTTGACGAATCTGAATTTATTGTGTGAAGGTGCTTTTATTGCGATGTGGGTGCAATCTATGGCTCCAATTATGTTTGGGAATCCGGCGATGGCGTGAAATCCTCGTTTTATTTCGGCTTGTTGCTGATGTGTGTTTGGGAACTGGATGTAAATTGAGGCCGGAGAAATTATTACATCCAACTCTGCCGGCATGATTCTGATTAGCGTTGGCTGCAAAATATCACATATGTCTCAAATCTCATGCTGAAATGTTCGGGTTAGGGTGGACAGGAGCTGGATGTGCGCTGGGATGGCTTTGGTGCGTTTTGTTTCTCGCTCCGACACGGGTAGTAAATCACGGCGTAAATCCATTAAAATGTTTTGGGGAAGCGGTACCTGCTGAGAATCCACTCTGAGTTCTCACTGAACAGATCAGCACGCTCTTTGAAAACGCGCTCCCAGCGGAGGAGCAGATGCTTCTCCAAGTCCTCCAATAGCGCAAAATAAACTGTGATACTTGTATTTGTACTTGTAAGAATTCTTGTGAGGTTGTCCTGTCACAGCAGATTTTTATAGCTTGTCTCACCAATCATTCAAAATGTCTGCTAAATTACTAATTGATAAATTTTGTATAGAGGCAACGGGAACATGTGTGGAGTTTGAGATTGCGGAACGCTGTGACTCCTTCAATGGGTTCTATTTGTAGTTTTACTGTCCTACCACTAGGTTTTGTGTGTACGCATGGTCAGAGTTGTGCTTAACTTTACGCACGTTCCTAAGCACAAGTACAGGTTGATAAATTCCAGACTTTGCGCAGGAATGTTCGTACGCACTCTTTAAGCACACATCTGTGCGTACGCACGGATGATAAATGAGGCCCTAGGTGATAGGCATTCCGGAGGTCCAGTTTGGAGAAGATGGTGGCCTTGCAGAGAGGTTCGAAGGAGGGATCGATGAGTGGCAGGGGATATTTGTTTTTAATGGTGATCTCATTGAGTCTGCGGAAGTCCATGCAGGGACGGAGAGAGGAATCTTTCTTCTTCACAAAGAAAAAACCAGCAGCAAGGGGACAGGATGAGGGCCGGATGAGTCCAGATGTCAAGGAGTCCTGGATGTATTCCTCCATGGCCTCTCGTTCAGGCCGAGAGAGATTGTACAGTCTGCTGCTGGGGAGAGGGGCGCCAGGGAGCAAATCTATGGCGCATTCATATGGGCGATGAGGAGGAAGGACGAGAGACTGCTCCTTACTGAAAACCATGGCCAGATCATGGTAAACGGGATGAACAGAGGCGAGAGATGGTGGTGGTGATGCTGACTTCTGTCGGTGGATGTAGGGATTGGCGGAGCGGAGGCAATGAGAGTGGCAGTGAGGACTCCAGGCTGTGATCAAAGCTGTGGACCAGTTGATTTGGGGGTTGTGGATCTGCAGCCACGGGAGTCCAAGCACAAGGGGTGAGTGCGGAGAGGGAAGCAGGAACAACTGGATGTCCTCCCAATGGTTTTCCGAGAGGATGAGGGTGAGAGAAGTAGTGCAGTGGGTTATGGTGGCTATAACCCTGCCATCGAGAGCGGTGACCTTACGGGGAAACCGGGAGTACCTCCAGGGGGAGCTGAAGCCGCACTGCCAGTCCGGCGTGAATGAAGTTGTCGTCCGCCGCGGAGTCAATCAGGGTTTGGAGAGACGTAGATTCTTTTGCCCACAGAAGGCAAGCAGGTACAGAGATACGTCTGGGAGAGCTGGGGACAGAGGAGGTGTGGCTCATCAGGGTGCTCTCTGTCACTGATGAGCCTGGCTGTTTAACTTGTACGGACAGTTGGGCAGAAAGTGGCCGGCCTGGCCACAATAAACACAGAGCCTCTGCTCCATCCATCGTTTCCATTCACTGGGGTGTAATTTGGTGTGGCTGATTTGCATGGGTTCCCTGGCAGAGGGCGCTGGATCCGGATAAATTGAGGGCTGCAGAGGAGACCCGCTGACCACCACAGAGGATGGGGAGTCTATGCTAAGAGTGGATTTTAATTTCTTCTCCCTCTGTCTCTCCCGGAGGCGATTGTCTAACCTAATGGCTAGAGCAATTGGCTCCTCAAGTGAGGAGGGTTCATCAAGAGCTGCTAGCTCATCTTTAAGCTGTTCAGACATACCACGAGCGAATACACCCTTTAACTCTAGTTCCCCCCACCCACTCTCAGCCGCCACTGTGCAGAACTCAATAGAAAACTCCACCACAGACCGAGAGCCTTGGGTGAGGGAAAACAGTCGTTTCGTACATTCGGGACCCTTGACAGGATAATCAATCACTTTGCGAAGTGCCTCACTGAATCTGGCGTATGAGGACAACATCGGCGAACCCTTATCCCAAATGGCAGTAGCCCACTTAGCAGCTTTTCCTCTCAACAGGTTCACAGTATAGGCTATTTTGGACTGATCCGAGGGATAACTAATTGGCTGTTGATCAAACACTAACGCACAGCAGAGCAGGAAACCTCTGCAGCCCCCAATCTCCCCAGCATACGGCTCAGGAGGAGGGACATAGGGCTCTTTAATGTTAGGAGAGGGTGGAGAAAGTGGAGAGGGAACTGTACTCACAGAGGGGGGAGACTCAGTTTGCTGTGGTGGAAGCTGAGGAGGAGTTGATCCGCCAGTTGTGTTACTTGGACTAAGAGACCTTGGAAGGATTGATTGAGGCCCTGGAGCATATCATCGTGCTGACCGAGGCAAGCCCCGAGCTTGTGGACTGCTTGCTGGAACCTGTCTGGGCCTGCTGGGTCCATTTTCCTGGCCTGAGTATTCTGTGGCATGTGGTGTATTTTGAGGACCCAGAAGCAGACACAGAGGCAGATAGCAAATGAAAGATGTAATTTTAATGTCCAAACTCAAGGGTAAAGGCAAAAGAGAAAGTCCGGTTGGCTGGCTGGCTGGCTGTTGTGTGGGCTGGAGACACTGCAGAGAAAACAGAGGAGATAGAAGTGAGTAAGCATACAATGAATCACAGGGAGCAAACTTACTAACACTTATGCACAAAGGAGGCCAGGAGACGCGTCTATACCACTCAGGAGTGAAGACAATACTCAGGCACTGAGACTGAGGGCTGCTGGCTTCTTAAAGGCCTTGATTGCAGATTCAGTGCAGGTGTGGAGTCTCACTCAGCCTCAGCGACCGGAGAGGGGGAGGGTGCTCTGGAAAAGAGTCAAGCCAGACCAGGCAAACAAAGAAAAACAGGAAGTCCAACCAAAATAAAACAAGAGGAGGAGGCGTCTCACCACAGAAAGAGAGGAAATATTACAAAGATGCGAAACTTTTCAGAACTGAAAGTGGATATCCTCGCGTATGTGGTGGCAACTAACAAAGATTTGTTCTTTGGAAGCATCAAAACTGGTGTAATAGAAGTCCAGAAAACCATGTCTGGAGCAGGATTACAGAACAAACAGCACTACCAGGGATCAGCGGACAGTGGCTGAAATTTGAATAAATCATTAGTCAATAAGTTGCCCATGGTGATAAATTAATATCTCATACATGCCTCATATGTTTTACTGCCATCCCATAGCTCCTATTTTTAAAAATATTTAGTTTTAATTTGTTGCTTCTTTTTTTTTTTCTAGAGTGGACTGGAGAGTCTGACAGAGGCTTAACAAAAACAATTATTAAAGTCACTGAACGGTGTGTTGCTGCCTCCAAGGCACATTTTATGAATTTTTATTGGACTTTTTCCACTGATTAAATAGCAATAGCACTTTCTCAACTTACACTTTACATGTCAGAATCCATTGATAAGGTCCTGTCTCCTCAGTACAGCACCTATGTGGAATCTCTCCTTGTTAATGTTAGTCCCTCCTAGTCTCTGTGGAGTTTCTCCTGATTATTGTTCTCACGTTGCACCTGCACATCCAACGGCACTCCATTTACCAGTTACAAAAAAGCTACAAAAAAAAAACTCCAAACGTTTTTAAAAAGTAAAAAAAAAAAAAAAAAATCCCTTGGGACTGTTTCGTTGTGTTAAGGGAGCTTGCATACTTCCATATGAACACCCCTAAGAGCTATGCCATTGGGGGGCAACTCCTGGCAGGTTCTACCAAATTGGACAGGTCGAGAGCAAGAAGTTGGACAAAAAACAGTCAAGCTTTTTTTGTAAAGAGACTAATGGAGAAAGGTCTTACCAATTTCTATGTTAATATCACCAACTTTACATCATTTAACTGCTCTAATGAGATGGCAGCCATCTTTAAAATGGCCACCATCTTGAAATTTCAAGCAGCTAGGGGCATTTTCTTCTTAAGTTACTCATGGAGAATGGTTGTACTATTTTTCATGTTTATATCACCAACTTTACATCATTTAACTGCTCTAATGAGATGGAGGCCATCTGGCCACCATCTCCAATTTTCAAGCAACTTGGAGCATTTTCTTGTTGATTGCCTCATGAAGACTGTTCATACTAATTTTCATGCCCATATCACCAACTTATCAAAGATATTTTTAATTTTTCCACCTAGGTGATGGCCATCTTGAAAAATGGCCACCATCTTAAAATTCAAATGTCTGGGACACTTTTCTAGTAAAGTGACCCACAGAGAAAATTCATGCCAGTTTTCATGCTTGTATCACCAACTCAAGGATTCTGGCTAAAATGTGTACTTGGCTGCTGCATTATTATATAAATGAGAAATGATGAGAGTCCACTATGGAGCCTTGAGGAACGCCACTTTGGATTATATTTCTTTTCTATTTCATGAATTGTTGCTTGCAGTTTCTTAAGTCTCTAAAGTATTAAAGGGATGTTGAAGCACAGTAAAAAGTACAAGATTGTATTTGTGTAACTTATTCTCCTGATGTCTTTCTCTGCATATGAATGTGTGAAATCTGTGAAGGAACATTCACACACACAACCATATCTGTTTTCAACTAACCCTAATAAAACACATACCCATTCTTAGAGCCCAGGATAACCAGTCAGGGCCACAAAACAATTCCAAAGAGTCATGAGATCAACTTCAGCCGACATAGAGGGTCACTTTTCCCAGGGAAACCAAGTCCAAATACTACATGTTTCAAATACTTAACCTTAAAACATTTTTTATATCCACTCTGAGAGACCACCTTGGTCTTTAAATCCACTGTGAGAAGCAAAATGATTTGTCTGTAAAACAAACTCACTCATTTATTTTATTACATTATCAAGAAATGGGCAGTGAGTGTCCATTTCTCCGTATAAACTCTCTATTATCTCTCTATTTTCGTGCCTGCCGGCAACGCGGCGGACAGTGGTGGACCCAGTGGTATTTTCGTCTGGCAGAGCCCGGCGCACAGCCAGTTTGGTATTTTCATAGACTGAGGTGCCGAGGTCTGCCAAACTGGCCGATTCAAACCTGGTCAGCTTTTAGCACAGGCAAAGCAGCTGGTCTGGTTGTATTTTGGTAGACCGGCAGCGTAGTGTGCATACATCACCGATGCCTCACAGGCAGGTTTCCACAGTGTCAGGCAAATTTTAGTGCAATAAATAATCATCAACAACCAATATTCAGTACAACTATCTGAATCAGCACATACATTTAGATCTATATCAATATATTCTGATCTATATCTTATCTGATGAGCGCGTTTGGCATGCGTTTGGACACTCCACCGGACCGAATTAACACAGCTTAAACTGCATTAAATAAAATATCCAGTAAACAGTCACACATGATAAAGTTAACAAGATATAAGATTAACAAGATAGCAGCTAACTTTCGTTCTGTTGTTAGGTATTTAAAAAAATGCACATATAGAGATGTACTTGGGTATATAAACTGTACAGTAAGCTGTTAAGGTAGAGAACATTATATTTTCAGGGCAGCAAATATTCCGAATCAGAGGGCTATTGTTTTCAGCTAATCTGAATAGCCTGAATGAAATCATGAAAGGCACACGCTTCAGAATAAGTCAAACGGTAAGGAAAACTTGGATTATTTCGCCTTGTTGTGTCCTTTAACCGCGCTCTCGTCAGGGGGGCGTTCTACGGCAGGGGTGCATTCTAGGTGGCGCAACACCTGACGTGTTTCTGTGTCCTTTCTCCGTCCTGCTGCTGCAGCGGTGGCACGGCTGACCAGATGATTTATTTTAGTGATCAGATGAGTTATTTACTTCGAAAATTTGAAAAAAGAAAAGAAAAAAGAAACTTTCACTCAAAATTACCTGTTTATCTGATTTTCTCATATCATTAAGATTCTGTAAATATTCAATCAGGAGTCAGGCCCACATACGAATATTCAGTTTTGTGAGCCAAATTTATTTTATATGCCAACATCTATGAAAGAAAGAGCCAGGCCACGGAGCGCGATGCGTCATTTACGCACAGGTGGTTCCAATTTTGATACCATTATTGGAATTTATGTTGTGATCTGTGCGCACAACCAACCTTTGTTTTGTGGGGTTTAAATATATGCAACTTCATGTGAGTGTCTTTATTTGTGGAAAGGGGTGTTTGTCTTACCAGTGGGTACAACCTTACACACACCAAATCCCTCTGTGCTTATATGAGAGAGTGAGGAGCGCACCCTCCGCAATGCTTAGAGCAACACTTGTTGAGGAGCTGCCTTCTGTCGCCATCGTGTGGCATTGCTATCTTCAGCCATCTCTTGATCTCTTCGACTACTTCAAGAAAATAGTAATATGCATCGCAGGTGGCGGATTTAAAGGCGAGGAGAGGAGCTGATGTTACTGGTCAATACAGGTCTTAGCTGTGTTAAACCCATTCCATTCCTTCTCTCCTCCCTCCCAACAACTTACACCGCTGGGAGGAGCTGAGTTAGGGAGGGGGGATACTTACACCAGGCTGTGCTGCTCACCAAAATACCAAATTGTGCTTGGGTACGCCTTGTTGGCGCGGCAGATCTGACTTAGGCCGCGCCGATGCCACGTTGCCGGTGAGGCACAAAAATAGAGCCCAGAGGCTTTACTTTGGATTACTGTTCATCTGTCTGTGGAGAGTCTCAGTCTCTCAGTACACAGTCTCTCTGATACTTTACTCTGGCTTCCTTCAGCAGTATGAACCTGAAACTGAAACTGATGTTCTTCTGATGTTCTCCTCATTCATGGGTCTTCAGTTTGGTGAAATAATAGCATCATGATGCTGATTAGTCTGAAGTCCAGCTTTACCAGGACCGTCCTCAAGAGCAGAAGAATACTACTTTGAAAATGTTTGTTGATTTTGTTTGAATGGAGGTCAGATCCATAACTTCTGGTGCATTTAGGGAAGTCAGTAAATCTAAACGCTGACTGGTTGTTACAACATCAGTCAGGTTCAAGGCAAAATTTGAAAGTGTTTCATCGTAGCTATACAGTACGTCTGTATTTTATGCCATGTTTCAAAGAAAAGGAAACTTGCTGCACAAAGTCGCCATCACACACTTTGTTGTGCTGGGCTGAGATGTGTGTTGGATCCTGGTGGAGCTCTCTGCTGGTTTTCCTGCTTCAGCTAAAGAGAACATGGAGTCTGTAACTGGTGTGAAGTGTTTCCAAACTTCTGAAACTGAGCATGCCAAACTCAAGATTTGTGTTTCAGGAAGAAGAGTATATATTTCATCAATTACAGCTCCCAATCCTCATCTGTGTGAGCTGATTTGTCACCAATCAAACTGCTTTGACATGTATGATACCACAGAGGTGAGCCCCATCCCGATTGCAGTGACACCCCCACACACCTCCCCCTCCTCCCAATCCTTCTTTGCTCTCCCGCTCAATTAAAAATGCATCAGGGAACGGATTAGATGCACGATCCCCAGCTCTACTGATCCGGAGGCTGAAGCTGTCATGAGAAGGGATCGGGGTGGGGGGTTGGTGGGCGCTGGATGGAGGGAGGAAGAGCGATGGATAGGTGGGTCCTCCCCCTCCTCCTCCTCCCTCTCTATGTTATCTCAAACTCGTCCTCCTTCAACACACTCTCTCCCATCCCCCTTCATCCCCTCCTCCACTCTCAGACTCATCCCTCACCTGTCCTCTGTCTCAGCAAACTTTCCCTCCCCCTCCTCCTCCCTGACCAGCCTACTGTCCCACTACTTCTCACCCGTCTGCAGCAGCATGCGCAGTTTTTCCTCCTCTGCATCTCCTGTCTTTACCTTTTCCGGTAGCTTCATCTGCAGGACAGAGCAGAGAGTTTGTAGCAGTTCAAACATTCATTCAACAGCT